TTTATAGTCTTTGGACTCCTAGGGTCTAAGGATTCCCTAAAAAGCCTAATATTGACCCTAAACCCTAAACCTAAACCCTAGGCCAAAAACCCTAAACCGCAGGCCTCCATGGGCCAGCCCTGGAGTGGAAGGATGCTTGGCTATGCAGCTGCAAGCTTTGAAGTCTTCATGGTATTTGTGCAGTTAGGGTTTAGGGCTTAGGGTTTATTTTAGGAGGACCCCCCAACCCTGTAATAGTGATTAGGGACAGGAAAGATTATACTACGGTCCTACTAGATTCATATTGTACCACTATGACACGATGGGGGGGGGGTCCACCTAAAGTTTATGTATGATGTTGTTCTTGGCTGTCTGTAGCTGTTTTATGGAGTTTATGGAGTGGTCTTGTTTTTTGTAGTTCATCCATGCACTATTTTTGTTTTTTGTATGTGGCTTAAGTGCACATACCAGACACCAGAAAAAGGGCTTGGATCAAAGCGCCAAATCCCAAACGGGAGCCTCAAACCCCTCTCATAAATCCATGCGGTTTAGGGTCTAGCGCATCCGGCAAATAAGGACAAGTGTCCTGAAGCACGAGGTCCTAAGGCTTGCGCCGCTTGGGGGTCGCATGGATGGCGAGGACGGCTGTGGCAAATTCTCCAATCCCGATAATCCCCTAGCTTCCTTTAAGGCGTAGGGATTAGGGTTTGAGGTAGTAATGGGGTCATTGTGGAAGGGTTCAATTCTTTGGATTCTTTAGGGGTTTTGGGAAAGTGCGTATGATCTGGCAGAAACTTTGGAGGGAGGTGTAGAGCCTGCCTCCGGATAGTCCGCCCAAATAACTGGCATGGAAACCGGTGCAAACACGGGCCCAAAATCGCGTTGCCATCGCTGACGATTCTTTGAACGGCCTCGGATGCCGATATCGTGTCGTGACCTTCGATTTCTCTGGTACAATAGCCTCGCACAAAGCCAGCATCTGGTCCAGTACGGGCACGCCGCATAGAGCGCATCCCCTGTATTGAGCTCAGAGGGGTTGTTTGGCAGGTTGACTTCTACACACGGGCACAAGTGCCTCAAACTCCCTGCCCCCCAAACCCTGAACCTCTAGCTTTACATACAAATTCCCCTGAAGTCTACCTGTGGCAGCATATTTACCGACAGCCGAGTAGTTTACAAATTCATTTCTGAGGTTCAAATCAAATTCTTTCATGAACGGAAGGACCTTATACCTTGCGAAGTATCTTTTTCTAGTACAACAATGGTCACGAAGCTTATTTGGTATCAAGAATAGGTATAGCTCCATACACTGAGACCTAAACCTAAACCCTAAATCTGTAGGTAAATGGGTACACCCTGCATTTGAGTGAGAGGACGAAATTCGCCGTCTCCTGCCTACCGAAGCCAACCTGAAGACGTGGCAGCTGGGTTTCCGCTATGTTTAGAGCTTATCTTGCTTTCGAGGTTTCGGGTTTACGGATTCAGGATCTACGGCTATCGAGCTTAGAGTTTAAGTATTGGGCATATTCTTGGGGTACACCGGTTACTCCTTTTTGGTTTTTAGTTTAATAGGTTTGCCCGTTGAGTATAAAGTCAGGCGAGTCAATTGCTACTAAGTCAAGCCGCCAATCTCCAGGTAACCAGGACCACGGCTGGCTTGGGGATTGGAGATCTTTCTTTTCCAGAAGACCTATAGTCACCCCTTTTGTAGACAGAATATGGAGTTGCCCAATATCATAGGAAGATCCCCCTCTACCCCATAACTGTTCTTTCTACCTAAGAGGGGCTATAGATTTCTAGAAGATTTTGAAACCCTAAATCCTAAACCTTGAACCCTTAATCCTGAAACCTGATCTGGTAAAGAGCGTCAACTTAGGCAGCAAAACCTGAAGTCCATCCAGGACCGGAGGTGCCGGAGGCCCGGAGAGCATTTACCTAACTTATAGAGTAGTTAACCTGTAATCCCAACAAAATGAATGTTGTACCCTTAGCTAGGGTTTAAGGGTTGAGGGTTGAGGGTTCCTAGAATGACCCATATACCCAAAGGATTGAGTTTATACCGCATACTTTGATATCTTCAGCCTTCTGTTTAAAGTTTCAAGGGCCTAGGTTACCCTAGTCAGACTAAACAATGTTCCCATTCCAGAGGGCTTTGTACCAAATAGTTTGTATTTTGAGCCTTTGTTTTTGGGGTCTACGTTACGCCAGGTAGGGTTCTGGGTTTTGGGGAGTCGGACTTGGAGAGCTAGGGTGAAGGAATCCTGGTTCGGGGTTTAGGTTTAGATTACTGGGTAGGCCCCTGGGATATTTAATATTTTCCCTGATGGCTTAAATACGGGACTCTATATACTAATATTTTTCAAAGGGTTTGAGGGGCCAGCTCAGATTATTTAGTTGACGGGTTCGAATTTCGCGTTTGGGCCCCTAGGCAGAGGACTTACAGGTCTGGGATGAGAGATGCAGGGTGACAAGGCTAGGCAGTAATGATTTGAAACCTGGTGAACCCTGCGCACCTATAGCCCCCGTAAAGCAGACAGAATGTGCAGCATATGGGAATCTTATTTTGATCTTGGACGATTCCAAATTCTATCTACCTAAGGTGGACTATACCCCTGGGCCCCCTAGCATTCTCAGATGCGCGCCTCAACCCTCAAGTGGATTTAGCTCCCGATGTTTCCCTTAACGTGTTAGGGTTCAGGGCTTAGGGTGAGTGTCAAGGGGGAGGTTTGGGAGTATATCGGGGATTGCTATTGTTGATGATAATAAGCCTGCAAGACTATTCTATACCAGAGTACCATAATTGCCAAGGTATGAGGTACTTAGGGTCATGCAGATTTTTTGCTATCCGCGGTAGAAGCGCTTCGGGCTTTGTGGAGGGGAGGTCGCAGCGGTTGAACACCACTAATTTCCAGGGTGCTTTGATGGGTCATGAGAGTCATACCCTTCATGAACAGCGCCGTGCGTTGCCTGAACTATCTATCTACCTATCTCATAGATACACATATATAGATATTTGTTTGTATTCATATCAGTACCAGAGGTCCAAGGGTTCAGGCACGTAGCAGTATCTTACATGTGGTAATAGGGAGTATGGAATATTTTAATGGAGCTTATATAGGGATTGCGTTCCCTTATTCCCCACTAACCACTAAAAAGTTATTGGGAATTCTGTGAATCAACCGCATGTCTACGCAGGTGGGCAGCGGAGCAGCAAGCCAATGATGGGGCTGACGTGTCTGAAGCTGATGCATCACAGCCATCGAGGCCTGTTGATGAGGTTTAGGATTTGAGGGCTTAAGCTTTAGGGTGTAGGCATGGATAATAAGACGCATTTCCACCTATCATCCTGATGTAAGTGAAGCGAGTGCGCCCTCCAAATCTTAGGCTCAACCATTAGCCTGTTGAGCGCCTGTTTACTGTTGTCGTTGCATACTGCCTGGTGTACATTCCATATGGATCATACCGGGATGTATTCAGCAAAAAATGAAGAGAAACTGCCCCCAGAGGAAGCACCGTGCGAAGGATCACGGCATGGTCGATAGCTGTGCGTTTCTCAGCATAATCCCCGCGTACTCCACTAGAGAACCCCAATAGTCCCTTTGTAGGCACCATGCACGCCTAGGATCACTTGCCTACCCGACTGTCAGAAACCAGGGCTGCCAAGGGTAGCGAATTTGGGGGTCCTAAACCAAAAGCCGTAAACCATCCAAAGACTTGAAGCACCTGGGCTTTCTCAATTCGGGTGCGTTTAGGCTGAGGCACTGCGAGTCCGGCTGACGAAACGTTACATGGGTCCGGTACTACCTTGGGATTGGCACGGTCGCTGCCAATTGTCAGGTTATATACGGGTCTTGTTTCAGTGAGCAGTTCCCAATGAAGGCTCTCAGAAGGACCCAAGCATTCTGTGGTGGTCGGTTATCATCAGGGCTTGAAATTGGCAATTTCAATCTAGGTCTAAGCCTATCATGCACCATGCATGTGGTTTGTCTCAACACGGCACGACTTATTTTTCAAAGGTCACCTCTTTGGAACAAGCCGAAACAATCGCCGAAGGGGTTTTGCAACCTGAGGCCCCAAACACAAGAGACCGCAAATCCAAAAACCGGAAACGGCAAATCCTGAGCCACCAGTGCTAAATCATACATACTCCTGCCAACCAGGGCGCGCTGAACTTCTTATCCTGATAGCACCTCTCGACATTGCATGCAGCGCAAGTGGGTAGAAAGATATGTAGAGTCAATGTAGAGTGATATGGAATATCAAATGGGATGATGCTACAGTGCATTTCCCACAATTCTTGCACGAGGGAGAATATCTAGTTCTGTTTGAGGCGCTTTCGGCGTATCCCCGATGCAGATGATCCGCGGCGCGCTGATGTTCGGGGCAAGCTTCCAATCGAGCAGATACTAGGCTGATGTTGCACATGGACCCAATCAAGTGAAACGGTGCAAACGCGAGCCTTTGGATCGTCATGCATGTGGCCTGCATTTGCCGTTGCTACAAATACGGAATCCCCAAGGTCTATGTTTTCATTGGTTCTTTGGGCGACTACCTCATTGAACTTCTCAAAACAGGTTTGCGGTCGTGTGCTGTCCTTACAATCCCCGGATGCACCACCGTGCGTCTCACATCCATTGGTTCTGCCTATGCTGTTGACTGTAAAGAGCTCAGGATTCGGGATAGCGTGGGCGAGGCGACCGCGGGATCATCTTCCCACACAGTAACATGGAAGTCCAAGACTGACCCCGAAAAGGCTATAGTGTTCTTTGACAAGGCTAAAGGGGCTGTATAGGATTTCACGTCAAATTGGGTCAGGGTATTGTTTTGTGGCGATCGAACTTCCGGGCTTTGCACAAAGCGTTTCGGGTTGAAAAAAAGCGCTTACGTTGAGGGGGCGGGGTTTCTGAGCGGCTTCCCGTGCCCACATATGAAGAATAAATGCCAATTCCAACAGGCAAGGATAGTGGGAGCCTAAGTCACGCAACCCAGGTTCCAGCAAGCTAGTCTGGAATTCGGGCTTGCAGCGCCGCAGAGGCTTATCAGCTACATCTGTGGTGTAGCTGCACATTACTTTCAAGTTGGACAAGGACATTGGCCCTAGAATCACTTAACTTATCTAAGGATACGGAGTGGAGAGTTTACCCGGAAGTGCTTAGGACACGTACTTGTAAGATTTCCGGGGTTAGCTAAGGGTCATCTGAAGTCCAGGTTTACACCGCTACCAACTGTGCCTGTCTGACGTAACCCAAATACACTCAAAGCGGAACCTTGAAAAGATTAACGCTTTTTGTGCCAACCATATCCCATACCTAACCTGAGTACCTAATTACTTACCCCAAACCTGGACCATAAGTACTGTTTCCCAACTATCAACTTATTGGGTGCTTAGACATTCTGAGTACAGGTGCTTGGTTCGTCGCAAGTTCTGGTCGTGTCTGGTGGGACTGGAAGTGGCAAGACGACGCAGCTGCCGCGTGTTGATCGCAGTTAGTTCTACGGGCTTGGCTAGGTGGGTTTAAGGTTTAGGATCACCCTGTCCCCAAATTAGTTAACGTGAAACCCCAAACAAAGGCCCTGCAAATACTACAGTCCTCTCAAAAGACCGCCATATGCGGTTCAAGGCAAGTAAAGGGCAGGGTGCAGCATGATGCTGCATGCCAATTTAGGTGTAAGTGGTGTGACAAGCAAATTGCAGGGACCTTGTTGTAGCGTTCTGGAAACAGAACCCTCAATCCTGAACCCTGAACCCTAGATCCTAAACTGTAGACGTCACCTCCTAAACCCTGAACCACAAATCCTAAACTCCAATTAAACAGGGGAGGGTTTGAGGAGCTTCGGGTTCCAGGCTTGATTGCTGACAGAGGTATAAACTCTACCGAAACCCTAGCTACATGCTAGGGTTCAGGTTTAGGGCTTGGGGGTGGGTAGTATAGTATGCTCCGCTATATACCCCAAAGAACTACATAGGAGCCTTTGCGTAAACCCACACGCCTTGTTACCACCAGTGTCTCCTAATCTCTAAAGCCGCCTTTTGAAGATTCAGAGCTTGGGTGGAGTAGAGCCTTAAAGAGGGATACTATCATCCCCAATCTAGAATAATACGATATCATACCTGTACTTTCTGATTGGGTCTTTCATTTGTAAAAGAGATATAGTCCCCTAAGGGTCCAGGTACACAATACCATATACTTACCCAAACCCTGTACTATAATTACTACTACCCAAAACCCAAGTATTCAATTATTGGGTACTTGGACCCTCTAGGGTCCTACTAAAACCATGGATGGGATGAAGCAGCCATGTCTGATGAGGCAATTTCTGCTTGACGACTGGGAGGCCGATCATGCCCCGAGGAGCATCGAGACAGGGTTCAGGATTTAGGGGGTTGCTGTTAAGGAACTTAAAGTCCAGGGCTGGGCAGTTTAAAGCGACCTCACCGGACCTCACCCTAAACGATGGTTTATATAGGAAACAGTACCAAAATGGCATCAAACTTGGGAATTGAACTTATTCTAAATTACCCTGTTGCTATGCCAGCAGCAGAGACAACGGTTGTGGATTTTAGGTCAGCTTGTCGTTTACCAGAAATCTCAATTCACCAGTTTTCCAAATTTGCAAACTACAAAGGAAGAGTCGGTCCAGCCCAACTGACCGACTCTCGTCTGGGCGGGATTGTGGTGGGTACTGCACCCTTTCTCCTTCATGCGCCAAGTCATCCCTATGTTGTCCCCTGGGTATCTGTGTATGTTGGCGTGCAGGATCGTGGTGACTCAGCCCCGCCGCATTGCTGCCATCTCTGTAGCTGAACGAGTGGCATGGGAGCGTGGTGAACGGGCCTGGGGCCTCAGCGGCCCTGAAGACGTTTTTCAGGTTTACTTGAGGGTTGAGAAATACATTTAAAGAATGGATGAAGGGAGACGCTACCAAGGGTTCTACAGGACAGTTCAAGAAACTCCTTCTATCAAGGGGGTTACATGGGCTTGCATGTTTACTTGTGGAGCCGTGAAAGGTCTCAGGGTCTGCGAGGCTGACAGAGGAGAATTACGTACGACTTGGGCCACAAGACTTCTATTACGTGGTTGAAACTTAGTGACCACACACCATGAGATGTTTTGAGGCTTTTCAACCTAATGCTCTAGCGCATAAACGCTGACTCCCCAAATCCCAGTATCAAGGCCCTTAGTCCCCAAAATAATGTGCTTGGCCTGGGTACATCATAAACCTACGGCAGGTGGGAGAGTCCGTTGGCTATTCTGTGCATGGAAATGCTGTCCGCCCATCCGCCAGGGCTTCCATCGAATCCTCGGCTTGCAAGGGCTTCAGGGGATCTTGGGTTTTAAGGGTGTAGAGCTCAAGGCTTAAGGGTTTAGGGTTTTGAGGGTGGAGCGTTCAGGGTTTGGGATCTAGGGTTGAGCGCCCAACCCCATCCCAGGAGGGATCCAAGAAGTGCAGAGCCTTCAAATGGTAGTCGAAGAACTCTCCCTCCCAAATCAAAGGGAAGATACTTCTGTAGAGCCCTCGATTTGGCACGAACGTTTACAACTGGGTAGAGAATCATCGACACTCCCTGAATAGTCACTCTCTGCATCCTCCCAGAGGTGTCGGAGGTGACCCCCACCATACATGCGCCCTATAGTGGGGTCTATCCGGAACCCCTATTCATGGAAGCCCCTCAGAAGTTTTTCCACGTCATCTCTGTAGAAAACTATCCTAGAGGAGCCTGCATTTGCCCGAGCCTTCCCGCGACGATAGACCCAAGGCCTTACCCAGCTCAGGGACGCGTTGGACTGCTATGGTAGCAAGATTCGGCCTGCTATCACGGAAGCTACACCGTCTCGCGCACTTTCATGTTTCCACTGAGCTAGACCTGAACCCAATCCCCAGTGGCTCAGCTAGTCTATGGACTCCTCATTGTTCAAAGTCGTCTTTACTACTTTTGACAACAGTATAGCCTTAAGAGCAGTTAAGCATACAATGTCCCTATCATTCCAAGTTTGTAATTTTCATGTACCCGTCCCCCTCAGGAATGCAACCCGAACCCACGTACCTAATTATGGTGTACTTGGACCCTGAACCCTGTTTATCCCTATCTAACCCGACATATCTCTTTAAAAGGACCTAGTAACTAGGTCCCTTGGACAACCTAGGCTTCAAGCCAGCAGGCCTCAGGGTTTTACGCTTCAGGGTTTACTGTTTAGGGTTTGGGGTGTAAGGCTTACTGTAAGGATTTACGCTTTACGGCTAACTGTTTGGGGTTTGAGGTTTGGGGTGTGGAGTCTCGGATTTTCAGTTGTGGGGGGATCTGCCTTATTGTCCATCCAGCCTGTGTAAGGCCTTAAGTTATAATGCTGTGCACGCAGCGGGGAACTGCCCAGCCCGGGGGGACCCCCATCATCCTCTGACAACCCCCACATATCCCTGGGGTCTTTAGAGCCTCCTTTTTTGTAGAACCCTAAGCTCTAAAGCTCCCAAGTATCGTGGGCCCGAAGCCCAGTACAAATAAACCCTCTTGCAGCAACCCCAAGTCCTGAACTGACAGCTTCTTAGTAGGGTTTAGGGCTTGTTTAGGGTAGGGTTTAGGGTTTAGTAGGGTTTAGGGCTTAGGGTTTAGGGCCTAGGGGGATAAGAGTAGGGAGTAATGAGAGGGTATATTCCCTACATAAAACCACAAATAGTACGTTCCCTTATTCCTACTATGAACTACGTGAAAGCTTAAACTGCTTTCTTTAGAAATTGCCTCCTTGCATTGCCGAGTACCGTTCTTACCGTTATTGCTATTATGACTCCAGCGACTGCCATCATTGCGAATGCACCTTTTGAGGGCCCCCCACACGGTAACAGTGGTATAATATTCTGGACCCTACTATAATCCCTTTTATCCCCTAAAGTCACTATTAAGATAATCCCTATTATCCTTTATAGTCACTATTAATATAACCCCTGTTATCCCTTATAGTCACTACTACTGGGTGGGGGGTCCACCTAAAATGCACCTCAGATCCAAGCCTAGGAATTCTTGACTGTTGGGACCTTGCTGCGACGTGCAGTTGATGACTCATGCTTGCGGAATCTCGGGCTCGCAGATCTTGAGCGGTAAGTTTTGGGTGCTGCCCCCCCTCAGTAACAGTTGGATAATAAGTATAATATGGTAATATATAGCCCTTAATAGGACCCCTAACATAGACTGTTATTGGGTGGGGCAGTACCCAAGGTAAGTTCCAACATTTCGGATGAGATGGCGGCTTTGCTTGAGCTTAAGCTGTTGCATGCTGACTTGGTGACGGTGACGATACAACAAGTATTGTTATTTGTATTCCAACAGCTTTATGCATTGGCCAACGCTCGCTGACACTTCAACATGCATATCCCGAATCTGCAGATTCGGGCCTTCAACCTGCTTTGAAAGTCCTTGCTCAGCCCCAAACAAGCTAGGTAGATACCCTTAAACACCCCAACGGGACCTAAGGAATTGCGATGTGGTAATCGTGGATGAGGTGCATGAGCGAGACATGCTTACGGACTTCCTCCTGGTGTTGCTTCGGGAGGCAGATATAAACAGTATGGGATCACAAAACGCGTGCATAGCACTTGACACATACGCTGAGAAAAATCGTGAGAATTCGGATAGGTATGATCGCGCGGACCACTGCTCACGGCACGGACTTTGTGTGTGGGCGCTAATGTGCGTGTGACGAATATTGGGTTTTTTTGGTGTCGAGAGTGTGAATCGTAGTGCAGCTTAGGGGTTGGTATATCATTATTGAGTACTTGGACCTTTAGGGTTGTAACACAGTGTGGGAAGAGCATGTTCTCCTTGGACGGTCAAAGACGCCCAACATCTTGTCAGGTACAACCCTAAACCTTAAACCTTGACACCCTGAACCCTAAATCCTTAAACCTAAACCCATCCCAACATATTGTCAGGTATTGCCAAGCCGGCCTGACTTGAAGCTCATTTTGATGAGCGCCACTTTGGATGCAGCCTGCCTGCAATTGGGGGCTGATTTATGGTAGGGCCTTCAGCACCCATTCCAGGGCAATAGACGAGTAAGGATGCTCTTCACAATGTCTAAGGTTTGGACTATGACCTGTGAGCTTGGCCCCAGCTAGTCTCGTGAGTCCTAAATATGCGCCTTTCATTGAGTATGTAGTGTCTTTTATAGGGCGCTAGGTCAAGAGAGATTTTCTTCGGCCATGCCGTCTTGATCATGGGTTCCTTGGAATGTTTCTATGCTGCTTTACATCCTATGGACCTGTCGAACAGTGACCCAAGGGTCGCGACGAATGGCTGCAGGGCTTGCGATGGTTGGGGTAGTGTACACGAAATGGGTTCCTGACCCACGTAAATATCAGAGGGGCCTAGATACTTAGTCGTATAGGATTTAAAGAGTTTGTCGCTTTGCAGCGTTGAGCTCTGGTCCGCCTCAGAGGTGTTTCGGTGTCAACGTCAAAGGCTTCTGCGCTGAGATCTTCGGGTGTTCTGTTCAGATCTGAACTGTCACCGTTTGGCGCGCGCTCATTTTCTAGGTGTCACGTTCTGGTCTGGAGAGGTTTTTTGGTGTCACGATCTGGTCCCTTGAGCGGGCTTTAGATAATGTAGACCCATGATTAATAAACCCGCTCCTTTTAAGGACCTAAATCTTAGGATCCCAATTATAATCCCTATTAAGGGGAGGGAGTTTATTAATCAGGGGTCTACATTAAACCCTAAACCCTGAATAGTAGTTTCCATTTATTTTCTTTTCCATTATCTCTATATAACCTCATCATATACCCTATTACATTATAATATACTATGATTACCGTAGTCTCACCTGACGGGAGTGGTTTTAGGGCCGTCATGGTCTGGTGCGCGCGGAAAACAGCAGCGATAGGACTAATGGCCATAGTGATGGTAGCTTCAGTACTCATAGGAGCAAGAGTATCTGTCATAGCAGTGATAAATGTTCATTTGATGCAACGGTTCTTACAGTTCGTGGCTTAACTCTTGATTTAAAATGGGGAGTCTAATGCTCCGGAGAAGGAAATGAGGATTGAGATTTTATATAGAGGCTTGTACGATGTTTCTAATGTACAACCCTGCCTGCGTAGCTCTTAAAACCAGACTCTCAGAACTCATGTACATTTATGGGATGACATGCTCCACAACTAAAATCATCCACCCTTACGTAAAGTACAGTTACCACAAAAGGTGAAAGGAGCCATATTCGCCATAGCTAAGCTCTTCTGAGGGTAGTTGCTATAGAGGCGAATGACCCAACCCAAAGCCCTATTCTAGTTCAATAGGCCCTTCTGTTTCTTGTAGGTGGCTGGTCCGCTCACGGACTCTTAGGCGTTACCCTTGGTTTGTTCAGAAGGTGTATAGGTTTCTGGTTTAGGATGTAGGGCTTCCGATGTCACATTTAGGGTTTATAATGTCTTTTGGTGTTACGGTCTAATCTGCTTAGGCTTAGTTTTTTTCGTGTTGATGTCAGGCTTGCTCCAGGCGTTTGCGCATCCCCTGCTTGGAGCTTCAGGGTCAGCCACACGGTTTAGGGTTGAGGGTTTAGGTTTTAGGTTTAGGGATAGGGCAATGATGCACTACCTGTAGCCCAATATAACATACATCCCTATAAGTATATACCCGGAATATGAATATTGGTTACTACCCATGGCCCTACAAGTGCGAAACAAAAAAAAGCACGCAAACCTTGCAAGACCCCTATAACCCTACGGGTCCAAGCACCCAATTAAAGGTTTTAGGGCCAAAATACCGCATAGTAGAATATAGTATAGTATAGTATTTGGGACATGGAACACCATCACTTAGGGGCCATTAAGACAAACTTTGAACAAAGTAATATCATTTTCAGACTTTAGAGCCCAAAGTAGGTGTTATTCATATACCCTATAATCCCTATATAACCCTATAATCCCTGTTCCATTATCCCAATATAACCCCAATATAACCACCCAAGCTTGTATGGATATGTTTGAACCGCTCGGATGCCGCCTTGAACAAAGGTGCATGCGTTCACAGACTACTTCGATTCTTGCCCCGTGCTCGAGGCCAGAGTGGTCCAATAGTATCGCCCCGAGTTTCTACATCGCAAACCCCGTGACGCCCCACATATGACCACGATGTCCATCTAATGTTCAACTGTCTTTGCCTCTTGATTATCCATTATTTGGAGCCCCTATTTCCCCAAATTACAAACTGTGAACAAGCCTATAGGGGGCTTAGGGTTTAGGGGTCTAGGGGTGCTGGGAGAGGTCCAATCCGAAACGCTTTTCCCTGTGGAAGAGGCGCCTTGGTCGGGATATGGTGTCTTTCCTCATTAGGATACGGACTAAACTTATGTTGTATGTTCCTTATGATGGTGTATCTTCCTCATGAAGTTGCAATCGTGCAAGGAAGTCAATCGGTTTCAACATTGACCCCGAATGAGAAGATTTCCGCTTGTTGGGGGCTTTCGTGAGTGAGGTTTAGGCCCCACATGGTAGTCGCTCCCTTAAGAGGTCAGGTGCAGTGGGAGGGGTTCGGTGGATGGGGGTTTGACAGCTGCCTCTGCAAAAACCTTAAGTAGAAGCGGTTTAGGGTTTAGGGCTTAGTTCCCTAAGATCTCCTCACGATTCTCATGTATCCCTGCAATCTCCGAGAGCACCTTTGCTATGAGAAAGCTCCCAAAGTAAGGCTTGGCACAACTCTCGCGTAATAGCAGGATTCTAGTTGCCCAACTTCTATGGCCCTGTGATAAAGACCTTATAGCTATCATGTGATTCTACTAGGGCCCGAATTCTAGAAATTGGGGGAATTCAAATTTTGCTCTTATTGTCAAGGACTTGGGTCTCAGGTTCAACGGCCCGTTAGTGAAACAGTTTGGGGCATTTAGACTTTCTGGTTTTTGGTTTCGGGTCGAGGGTTAACAATCGTGGGGTTGGGTGCTCATTCTAGACCCAGTGGCTTCGGGCTTAGGATGTTGAGTTGAATATCCTTTCAACATCCCCCAAGAACAGAAACACCAGCCATCCAACAGTTATTCAAAGCTGGATTGAACTGACATGCGACCCAACAGCTAAGGTTCATTTGGAGGACGACTTCTTTGCAGAGTTCACCTACACTCATTCGCTGATGGCCGTGGAGGTCTAGCTGGGATGGCCAAGAACACTGCCAGTGTAGGCATAAATCAAGGATGGAGAACCATTTGGGTTGCCTTGAATTATGCATAGTCACAAATGTAGTCTTGTGACCAGTGCTTATCGGCAAGTCTGGCATCCTCCCAAAATGTTTCCTAAAGCCTTAACCCTAAACCTTAAACTCTGGGAGAAAGGCAGGCACATGTGAAGCTGTTGTGTGCCTAGTTGACAGTGGAGTGTAGCCTGCAAACGCCTGGCCACTGGCGTGCCCCGGACCGGACGCTTGCTGCCGTGCCTGCACGGTTCTGCGAACTCTAAACCCTTAACCCAAAATGTTTCCTAAACCCCATAAACCCTAAACCCTAAACCCAAAATCTTTCCTAAACCCTTAACCCTGAACCCAAAATGTCTCCTAAACCCTTAACCCGAAACTCTAAACCCTCAACCGCGTGTGTGGTCCCTGAGGAAAGCGCCAGGGAAGCGTTGGAGAAGGATGACAGTCCGGACCTCGGTGAACTTTGGGTTTAGGGTCCAGGTTAAGGCTTTAGGGTTTAAGTTCAAGGGTTTAAGGGTTAGGGTTTCGGGCTTTAAGTCAAGGATTAACGGTTTAGGGTTTAGGGACCTGATGTTAAGTCACCACAAGATGAAATTTAGGCTTTAGGGTTGCCGTTGAGGAGCTGATCTTAAGTTACCATTATATAAGTAGTTAGGGTTTAGGGTTTACGTTACCATACTATGGATTTAAGTTGCCATAATGCAAGTATTTAGGGTTGAGGGTGTCAGGGGTCAGTTCTCACAATATGAGTATATAGTACTCAAATAGAGTTTCCTTATTGTAATGTGGCTGATTCCGCTGTGTATGCCGTTGCCGGCAGGGACCCTCAGACTTTCCAATGCTGCGTGATTCGCCAAGCGGTCATCTTAACATTGCTTCTTGGTGGCTGTGCACAATGTGCGCGTTCAAACTTGGTAGACAGAGCATGGCAATGTTAGGAGATATGTTACACACGGGCCCATCCCGGGTTGTTGCCTTCAGTTATCCAATCCTAAACTCCTTGGCACTTAGCTAGGTCCTTAGACCCTCAACTTTTTGGGGTTCCCCTAGATTCTTCTGACAGGTACCTAAAAAAGTTAGCTTTTAGTAGGGGTGCTCAGTGCCATGGTCTAAAGTTCCCTCAGAGCCCACCAAAAACCTCACAAGGTGATGAGCTTGAAGGGTCTGCAAACGGATCCCGGATGCTTTGGGGCGGATATGACGGTGGGGAGATCGACAAGGTACTTCATGTCCCTTGCTTGCGCTCAAGCCTAGACCGTAAACCTTAATTTGTCGATGGTTTCAGTTTCTAGGATTAAGGATGTTGGATCGAGTGTTTCAGGGTTATACGTTTTACTTGGATACTGCCACCGCTCATTAAGTGCAGGACAATAACCTCAGTATAGTTGTATAGAGCCCTCAAAAATTACGATCCCTAGTATAGACTGTTAATGGGTGAGGGCAGGACCCAAAGCTTCAAGGTGAAGATTGCTTTTGGTTCGGAAGTGCTCCAGGAGGCCTGTTCTACCTCTGGGGAGGCGCTTAAGATTTTATTATTGAACCGCCAGATTTGTTTCATGATTTCCAAAAAAGTCCCGGGAGTAGACTAGGGTGCTCCAATTCTTGACACCACATACCCTTGTAACTGCAGAGCCTCTAAGCGGTGTTCTAACTATATAGGGCCACATGTCAGTGTTCCGGCGCATCCTTCTCAGGGTCCTCTAGTCTCGGATGTTATCCTTCCCCAAGCCAATGTGGAACCTTAAGAAGGGTCGTACAATGACCCGGTATTTTCACAGAGGGCTAAATGGGGCTTTTTTCTCTGGAAAATATTCCTAGTATAAGTTTGATGCTCTTGTTTCGGGAGCTGCAATTGGACTGTGCTGCAGTCATGGCACAATTCCTTCAGCCGCCTTGGCCAGCAAGAGGAAGAACACTGTTCGCCCTAAGCACTACCTAAACTCCCAAACTACCTTCATTCAAGGCCAGATAATCGATACCAACTGGAAGCCCATACAGACCCCAATCACGAGTGGTCGGGGGTGCTGGCAGTCGCAGAACCCTGAATTATGTGGCCCTGGGTTGTTTCAACACCATATGCCTGCCGCAACGCAAGGCCATGAGCATCAAAATTCCGGATTCTTAATATCATCAGGCAGTCCCCCAAACACAATCATATTAGAGTCTCTGGAAAAAATCCCGACATGATCGTTCAGGGACTCTAATCTATACATATACATATGTGTATGTGCACATATGTATATCCATGACGTTCCTGAGGGAACCTGCATTTTAAGATATTGAATATGAGGTCATGGACTCATCTATATGCGCTGTCGTGCGGGAGATCTCCAACCGGAGTGGCGGCTTGCAGGAACAGTGCCACACGTTCCAGGGTGTAGGGTTTATGGCCTAGGGACTTTGCCAGGAACACTCCTGGAAACGGGTACATTTGTGCTTATTGCAGCTCAGTTCAACTTCCTTTTCAAGTGGCCTGTGTTTTCGGCTTGTGTCGCCATCGTCATGGCTAGGATGTTAACGTTGCTCTTCTTGCTCGTTTAACTCCTCTTTTTGAGTTTTGCTTTACTCAGATCATTCTCTATCTTTGCAGTCTCTTGCTTTTCCTCGTCGGCTCTTTCTTGCTGAGCCAAAACCTGAACCAATACTGCCTTCCTAAGATCTGAGGCAAAGACGTCAAAGGCTCCGTGTCTTGGATCCTGTTGGAGTAGTTTCCATTCTATTTTCCATTATTCCAACACTACCCCATATATTATATGTACTAAAGTCGTTCCCATTTTATTGTCCGTTCTCCCTTCGGAGTTTAAGGTTCACGCTTAAGGCGGTCGGCAGGCCAGGCAACGAGGACTATCAGACTTTTTTGACTAAATGACCGGCAGAAGTCCGATGGCAAGACAAATAAACAGATTCGAAAGCTCTGGGAGCAAGGTCATCAACTTGTTCAGAAGCCAAGCAGGATTTCCTCAGTTGCGGGATGTTGGGTGTTATTCTGGGGTGCCCGGGTCCATGCTCTCATGTGCTATGAGCCACTGCGTGCGAATACTCTGAGCAAGAATGCATCCTGGGCATTGTGCAGATGCTAGTAGCCAGTTCTGGCGTGTGAAATCAAGTGTGCTGACGGACAAGTGTCGGCAGAGCCTTGAATTGGTAACGCGGTGTTGACTGTTGCTTAGCGTCTCTACTATGCATCCATACAGCCCGGCAGGCTAGAAGATAGGTAAGTGTATTCCTGAAAACGCCGCCAATTTTCTGGGTGCTGGCATCAGGTTTTCCAAGCTGGTTCTTGCAACGGCTCTTTGAGAAAAAGGGCACCCGCTAGAATAAACAGCTATGACAACAGGTTAGTTCTGCAGAATAAGAACTAGTGGCTTTCAATGGCAAAGCCTCAGATTGTTCGGACTTTCAACTACATGTGAATCACCGTAAATCCACATCTTCATACTTTTTGGCTGCGAAGTGTTGTTCTGTAGTTATAGGGTGTTTAAATCGCCTCTGCCTTTAAAGTAGTCTTAAACCCTGAATCTGGTGCAAAACTGCGTTTAAAGCCTAGGTGGGTTGTTCATGTCAAAGTCGGATGTTCCGGTACCTCGTTTCTGAGCATGCCATTTGTAACCATGTAGAAGCCAGCAGTGCACGCCCAAGTTGCGCCCCCTGCACTAGCACTCTCGTATTGCTTGCTCAAATGTTTGCTTCAGGGTTGAACGGGGGCCACAGCTTAACTCCAAACCCCGCAATGACAACGGGTTCAGGGTTTTAGGGTTGTACGGCTTAAGCAGTTTACAGCAGAAGGACCTCAAATCTTTGATGTTGGAAAACTCACGATGTTTCGTGCTTCTCATTCTTCTAGGTCATGTCGTGGGGGCATGCTGAATTTTAACTGCCTGACTGCTGATGCATGTTTTACGGGTTCCTTTCATTTCAGACTGCCTGTTGCCCTCCCCCAAACTACCATGGAAGTCCAAAAGGGGTCATGCAAAGACTGCTGTCCTGGTCATAAAGGCCTACATAAGTTTACATCATTTGTTGGGGGATATGTCGGCTGTAGAATGCAAAGCCTGGGACGTGTGGACTGGAGGTCCTATGCTTTCTTCCTGGTTGGTCTGAAATCAGGCCAGGCAGTCTCAACAGTTCTCACGTTGTCATATTTCATCATAGGAAGCATAGTCTAAACTCCTTAAAGGGGGCTTAAAGAGGGGATTCTATAGGGAACTACTATGGAGGATATTAAGGTGGATTATTAAGGGGGATACCAGGAGTTTAGATTATGGCTCATATTCCCTTCAGTAGGTCCTTGTATGAGATATGTGAAGGTGGGCTGAGTGGGCTGTGGCACCCCAAGTTTCTGGTAACTATCATATTTCCAGGGGAAGGTGGAGTCCAACAGGAGTAGGCAGTGAGGAAATTTCGTGGTGTTGATACATCAGGGGATGTGGGTTTTTTTAATATAGGAAGGGATTAGTAGCAGTTTTACGTTCGCGCTGAGCTCCGACGATTGCTGGCCCTACTGAAGAGGTTTGGATCATCAGAAAGCTTAAAGTTGCTCTTGACTATGAAGTACGGCCCTATTTCGGCAAGTAGGCCTCTACATCATTTGTATCCCCTAAAGCAGCCAGTCATTAGGAGGTATTAGGTACCACAAGCCATCCAGCCCTTATTCAACTGCGGCCCGTCATTGACTTACATCCATCGTACTAGGGATGGATGTATGGTACGACATGTAGCGCGAAGCCCTATTCTAGTCTATCACTGTTTTATGCTCAGGCTTCTTTGTACTGCAGGTAGTAAAAGCAGGGTAGTACGTGACGAGAGGACTTGGTAACCCCACCTCCCACCCTTCAAGCTTAGACCCTATCATTACCATGTGCCTAGACTCAGGTCCTAGTTTTCGGGCTTGGGGGTTGCCAAAATCCCTTGACTACTGAAGAGGAGCTCCCCAAAGCCTAAACCCCAAACCCTAAATCCTAAATCCTAAGCCTTAATTGCTAAATCCTGAGCCCTAAATCCTAAACCCTAAACCTGAATCCCTTTCTCCTGAGCCCTAAATCCTAAACCCTATAAATCCTAGACGCCAGGCAGATGCAGGAGCGTTTGAGCGGAGGAGAAGAAGCCAAGCAGATTTGGACAGTGCCTTTGCATTCCACCTTGCCCAAGGAGACCTTTGGAGTTTGAGGGGTTATGGGATTTAGGGTTCAGGGTTTAGGGTGATTTGCCGGATATTTGGTGGGAATAGCCATGATCAAGGCTCCAAATAGTATTTGCCCAATGTAGGTACTACTTATAGACATCGGGGACCAATGTAGGTAATCTTTATAGACTTTTGGGCCCAGTGTAGGGACTGCGTTACTTACACACTTAGAGCCCTAGGGTAGGGGAAGGGGTGCGAGTTCTGAAGGACTTCAGAATGCCAATTTGGGAGTAATACAGGGTCCCACACAAGGGGTTGTTTAGTGTTTTGTGTTAAAAGTTTAGGGATTTTCCCCCTCACCGTAGTGGAGACTGACATGGAAACATGAAAGTGGGTCTACATACTTAGGAGGTTTAATTTAGAATCCTAAATAGTTGCCAGCAGCATGGTCAGAGGTTCCTTGCATACTTATAGTAAAGGGTACGTCAAACAGACCCCAAAATGAGATGGGTAATCATGGAGGCGCCTGCGCTACACAATCCCTCCGATTCACGCTTTAAGCCAAGTTTCCATAAGTTTTCATCTAAATTTGCTTTCTTCTTGTTCATGTGATTCTCTATTATTCTATCCCTTCTGGTTACCTAGACCCTCCAACCACCCTCTATGCCGCCTATGTACCCAATGTCTGGTACCCTATAAGCCTCTACAGGAAGTGACAATTGAAATCACAAAGCCTCGCTTGCCCTTGCGTCAGAAGCTCTCTCCGAGGACCTTTAAGTCCTTGACAGGCTGGCATGTTTGCCGGTCTCTGACATACAGGTTTAGGGCTTAGGGCTTAGGGTTTAGGGTTCAGGGTTTTTAGGGTTGAAGTTCAGTTGCAATAAGATATCCCGCGCGGAAGGCCACCAGGATCTTGGAAGTAGCTTCACCACGATGCGCAAACGCTTGGGATGCTACATGGGGTTTTGGACGACGCTTGTTGAGCCCAAAAGACAACATTGCTGGCAGGAGAAGCAACAACAAGTCTTTCAAAAGCCGCCAAGAAGCAGCTCATTTCCCGACTTGCAAGTTTTCCGTTTTGTTTGAATTTGTGCTGGCCCGGTGCCGAAATACCCACTAATCATTAGGCGCCACATATCCCCAAGCACTTGGTATTTCCTACCGTGTTACTGTAGACCCATGATTTATAAACCCCTCCCTGTTAAGGGCCTTAATATTAGGATCCTTATTATAACCCCTCTTGAGAGTAGGGGGTTTATTAATCAGGGGTCTACATTGAACCCTAAAACCTGACTAGTAGTTTCCATTTGCTTTTCCCTATATAACCCTAAAGCTTATACAGCCCTATATAACTCTATATAACCCTATATAACTATGTAGGATGACATATACCCTATTACACTATAGTAATTTTATAGGCGCCTAGTAGCGTTTTGGAAGCCAGGCAAAGTGAAAGTCATCCTCGCCACCAACATTGCCGAGAGCTCTGTGACTATCAACGATGCATCAAGGCAGCATTCTGGGTTTAGGGTTTAAGGGTTTAGGGTTTAAGGGTTTTGGGCTTAGGGTTTAGGGTCTTTGTTCCCTTGAGAGACCCCAAGAATTGCGTAGGTTTGCATGAGTGGCCTGGCCTACGTTGCAGAAAATACTGGAGTTTTGCAGCTTGAGGCATATGTGTTACATCTTTACCTGCAGTGCTCAGTTCCCGCTCACATTGGTTCGGGGCCTAAACCCTAAACCCTAAACCCTTAAAAAAGCCCTTTCTGCGGTGCTCTTTGCAAGTCTACCCTAGGTAAAGCAAACGACAGCGTCTCAAATTCTGGGGTTCTTTGGAGGTCCTTGCAGTCAGGACCTAGTACATTAGGCTCTAACTACTATACACATCCCACACCTTCTAAAACAACAAATCTGTAAATCCAAGGTAGAGGTCGTTATTGACTCTGGCTTGCAGCGCGAACTGGCCTATGATCCCAAGCGGCGGATGTCTTCTCTGGACACTGTTACTGGGCTCAGGTTAGATTGAACGTTAATGTGAAGTCTTGAGGGCCCGTAGGACGCAAGGTTTACAGGGGTAACTTGCTCAAATCATTCTTTGCGCGCACCATGTGGGGATTTCCTGAAATTTGTGAAGCTGATTCTGCGCAAACTATAGCAAGCTTAAATGAGCTCACCCTCAATGGTAGTTTTTGCTGGGAATATAACCCAGAATGGTGCCTTCATTCAGGGTTATGATTTATGATAGTTTGCCCAGAAATGACGTGGGTCGCAGGCGCCGGGGCAACCTCCCAAACATATTTAACAGGTATCTCGGCCACGGCGCCTGGACCCTAAACCCTATACAACCCCACTATAGTAGTTTCGATTTCGCTTCCATCATCCCCTATACAATCCCAACATATACAATAGTAGTTTCCATTTTCCTTTCCATTATACCCATATCCCCCCTATATATACCTTATTACATTATAGTAGTTTCCATTTGCTTTTCCGTTGTCCCAGTATAACCCTAAACCCTCATAAGCCTTAAACCCTAGCATTGCAACAAAGGGTTTACGTAGGGCTGTGACGATTTTTTCGATGATAGTGACTTGGGGCGTTTAGAGGATGTAGTCGGTGGCTTCAGCTATCTCTTTCTTGCTACCTGGCCCGGAAGCTGTGGGTGTACCATTTTTGTTTCTGAGGCTATAGTCCCCTTACGTAGATAGAACATGGGGTATATGGGGATCTTACTATAATATACCCAAAGCCTTATTCTATCTACTAAAAGAGGGATATAAAGCCTTGTTGCTGTTCGACAGGCTCCATCTCCAGCTTTTCACAGCCAGGTTTCACTTGATTCGTTCTTCAGCCCCAAGTGCAAAGATTTGAGCTCAAGAAGTGCATCAAAATCAGCCAGTAAAGTTTCAAACCTCCGGGTGGTTGTGGCGTTCGAGCCAACACATGCGCTTACCCCGGGTACAAGATCGACTCGTAAAGATAAAGTTGCTCAAAGATGCTCAAAGGGTAGACTGGGAAAGTCGCCTACCTTACCAGATGGTGCCCAAGGGGTCCATGCAGACGTATAGGAATTACTTGGAGGGGATTATATGGGAAGCTCTGGGCCCTAGACTTTTTTGGGGACTCTATAGCGTTCAGGGTTATAGAAGATATCTACACGGACCATTTGGGGTCTAAACTGGCATCCCACCGCGGCAAAAGATGCTTCAAGACAGGTCTGGGTGTCACAGAGTGGTGCCATCCAAAGACGAGGCGCTACGGTTCACGGTTTGGGGATGAGTGTTTATTGTCCCCATCAAGTAGACAGCACGGGGTATATGGGGATCTTATTAATATAATATACCCAAAGCCATATTCTATCTGAATTTTGGAGACTATAGACTTTTGCGGTTTAGGTTAGGGCTTCGGGAAGCCTAACCTGAAACCTCAACCGCTTCGGGCTCAGGGCTTGGTTTAGGACATCGTACCCTCAAGATCCTGAGTCAGTATTTATGGGGTTGCATAGGGAAATTCTTCCAAGAATGGCAATTCACAAATGGGAAATGCATTGAGATCTAGGTTCATGGTTTTTTCTTTGTACGGCTTATTTTAGGGAAATACCTAGAGCAGCTGATTGTGTTGTATCTTTACACTTTCTTTGGATCAGACTCACTTCGTAGTTAGTTCATACTAAGGCCCTTCCGAGGGTCTAGGCGTAGTACGGCCCTTGCGGTCAGGTAAAACGGCCCAAATGAAACAAACACAAAAACTAGCAGTTTGAATATCGCGGACCTCGAGGATATCAGAAAAGTAGCAGCTAGCATATTTTTGGCCAGCGCTTGCAGTTAGAGCCTCAGGAAAGTCACAAGAGATTCATGACAGCCGCGCCCACATCAAGTCTAATTGCAAGGTCACTCAAGGTCTACATGAACCCAAGCCCCAGACCTGTACCCAAACAACCCTTTCCTTACCAAAAACCTAGGAAATACATAAATGCTCCTAAGTCTGAATCATTCTTCGATTTGTCATCCAAATTCCCTACAAAAGATTAAATCAAAACTAGCAGCAAAGGGGATCCTTGTTTGGAGTACTCAGCCCTGGTAAACACCTTTTGGAAATCAATAGAAATCTGTAGAATTACGCAGTTGCTCCTCCAAGTTGATGGGAAAACTAGCAGATGGAACATGTTAGGGGCCCTGGCTCCTGCAATTGCTGTATCTGTTAGTTTCCGAATCAGCTTCTCGGAGAAATTGCATGGCAAACTAGGGTAGCAGTTCTTTGAGAGGATGAGTGCAAAGAAACAGATGATTTATGGTGAATTCTTGAGGCCCATGACCTCCGAACAAAAACATTCTATCTGCCAGTTTTCCAGTAGCTTCTCAGGGAACTGCGTAGAAAGCTAGGGCCAGAGGATGATGCAAAACCTAGAGCATAGATCTTTTTTCGGCCCTGGCCTTCGGAATTGCTTTATCTGCTACTTTCCCAATCAACCCGGCAGAGGACTTGCAGAGAAGACGAGGGCACGGGCTTCTTCAATTGTTATACTGATCAGAGAATAGGAGACTAGCAGATCAAATATGTTTGGGGCTGCAGGTCATGTCACCTGAAAGCTCCCAACAGCAGACCAGACCGTGACACCTGAAAGCCCCCCAAAAGCGGACCAGACCGTGAGACCTGGAAGCCCCGAAAGCGGACCAGACCGTGACACTTCAAAGCCCCCCAGAAGCGGACCAGACACACCTGGAAGCCGAAAGCACCTGAAACCCCCAAAAGCGGACCAGACTGTGACACCTGAAAGCCCCGAAAGCGGACCAGACCGTGACCCAAAAGCGGACACCTGAAAGCTTCCTGAAAGCAGACCAGACTCTGACACCTGGAAGCCCCGAAAGCGGACCAGACCGTGAC